ATACAATTTTAAAATTTAAAGTCTCAATAAAAATAAAAGTGAACAAAAAAGTGTATTTAACCACCACAAATGAGATCATATTCCCCTTTGTAATGACAATGAAGACTTTCCAAAAAACCAAAGTTTCCAGAGCAATTTTTTATTCTTTTTATTTTATTGGAAGTTCCCTATCTCCCTTTATATGGGACAGTTAATGAGCATTCAGTGACAGGAGACAACTCTCCATCTTGTTCCTAGTGTGGCCTGGTGACTAAACAATCTGCCATTTTCCTCCTGATTTCATTAGGGGCAAAGCGCCTTTTGAGGAATTTGCAGAACTAGATTCCAAGAGCCAAGGGCACAGAATTCAATGAACCATTTATTTCATTTAGTTACTCACTTTTTAGAGGAGCATGTAATTGTTGCTGTTCAGTTCTAAGCACGATTCTCCCTTCATCATGACTAGAGCACTTACTAAAATTACTTTGGATAAGAGTGGTTGAATTCTACAGCCCATTGATTCAATACAGAAGGAAATTCTGTATTGTGCTTTTTTTCTGTTGTCTTTCTTTAAAGACAAGGAAGTTGATGCTCAACTCAGAGATGTCTACATAAGTGCTCTGCTGAAAGCCACACCAGGATAGAAATGGAAGAAGAACTAAGATTGCCTTGCTAGGCATCCTGAGGTCTTTCTTCGACACCACGATGTGTTCTTGTCTGTTAGAAGCTTACTGAAAGTTGGGCACCAGTGGCCCGTACCTGTCATCCTAGCTACTTTTGCAGCCAGACCTGGAGTATCAAGGTTCAAAGTGAATCAGGGCAGAAAAAGTCTTTAAGACGGCATCTCCAAAATAACCAGCAAAAAGCTGGGCTGGAGATAAGGCACAAGTGATTGAGCAACAACCAAGTAAGCAAGCTGAGCAACCCTGAGGCTCTGAGTTCAAACCCCAGTACTGTCCCCCTCCAAAAAAAAGAAACTACAGTAGGTGATTTATACTGTGAAAAAACAGAGAAGTCACATTTTGAGAGCCTGAGTTGGGAGTCTGCAGATGGACTCCTGTCACAAAGATCTGCAGCTCAGGAAATACACTTAACACTGTTCGAAAACTGAGCCATGAGGGCCAGAAGGAAAGAAACACTTGAGCAATGCCCTTAGCCATTTTTGCTTTAACTTATTAGTAATTGTACATTAAAGTTGCTGCAAGGTGAGAAAACAGAGAATCCACATTCTGAGAGATCAAATCTTGTAGTCTTTATTAAAAGACTGATGACTGCACGGTTAACTCCTGTCTCAAAGACCAGCAGCTTGCAAATACACTTAACACTGTTAGGAAATTGAGTCATGAAAGTCAGACAGGAAGGGGAGAATGAAAACAATACCAACAAACCAATTCAGCTCCAATGGGGAGATGAAGTGGGAGGTCATGGTGACTGGAGAAGAGTTAGGAGCCAGGAGACAGGACATGAACATGGAGACATGTGGCATGGCATCTAGCAATTGATTTTCAATAAGGCATTTCTAAAGTAGGTGTCTAGCAAAGCAGTGTTAACAGCAGATTCCAGGTCTACAGACATTGTTGAAATTGTTCCCAAAGGAACAACAAAATCTATAAAACAGGTAAGGCTGATTTATGCTCTATTTATTCAAATTATTCTTTTACTTCTTATCCTTGTCATCCTGATAGTATCCCTACCCCCAACCTCACTTCTCAGTGCCTGAATCTGAATTAGCAGGTTTTGAATAAATAAAATTTTTTTGGTCTCTCAGCTCTTATGAATCTCTCTCTGCCTTCTTTGCCAGCTGCCTTTCCCTCATCCATGGAAGCTTATCATCACTGCTATTCACCCACTATATCTCATTCCTAATTTTCCCTCACCATTACAGTTATCAGTTGTATAAAACAAATAAGATGTCATAAATTCCACCACCAAGAAATAACCAAATGAAGACTATGAACAACTCATTTTGTACTTAAGGTGTACAATCCAAACTTCATATTACCTGACACTACTCTCATTTCAAAAGTATTTTATCTTAGCCAGGTGCAGGTGGCTCATGCCTGTAATCCTAGCTACTCAGAAGGCTGAGATCTGAGGGTCGCAGTTCAAAGCCAGCCCAGGGAGGGAAGTCCAGGAGACTCTTATGTCCAATTAACCACCAGAAAACCAGAAGTGGCACTATGGCTTAAGTGGTAAAGAGCTTGCCCTGAGCTGAATAGCTAAGCTAATAGGCCCTGAGTTCAAGACCCATGGCTGACAAAAAAAAAAGTATTGTATCTTTATTCTGGCTAATACCTAAGAATTACCTTCAACTTCTCCCATTTTTTAAATTCTAACCAATCTCCATTAAATTAAATTTCAAGATATCGCTTAAACATGTTCATGCCTTTTCACTTTCCTTTTCTTCACCCCAGTTGGACTAAGATTGTCTTACAATATCCAATGAAGTAGTATGGAGGTTCCTCAAGACTCCACATAGAGCTCCCCTATGACCCAGCAATCCTACTTTTGTCCATTTACTCAAATGGTCACAAACAAGACCATACTAAAGCTACCAGCACAACTATGTTTATTGCAGCATTATTTACCATAGCTAAGATAGGGGACCAACCCAGATGCCCCTCAGTAGATGAATGGATCAAGAAAATGTGGTATATATACACAATGGAATTCTATGCCTCCATCAGAATGACATTGTCCCATTTGTTAGGAAATGGAAAGACTTGAAAAAAATTATATTAAGTGAAGTAAACCAGGCCCAAAGAAACATAGGTCCCATGGTTTCCCTTATTTGCAATAACTAGTATATGTCTGAGACAAGCAGAAAAGGTCAGATAAGATGTTAAGCGAAATGAACCTCAAGATAGGGATACAACTTTTTTCTTGCTTGCTATTGTTTCTAACGGATTTATAAGGTACCACATGATTTTTTTTGTTGCTTTGTATGTCCCTCCCCCACGGTATATCTGAAAAATGGCAGCTAGACTGCCCTTATGTTCTTTAAGTTGTCCTTCAACTCTTTCTGTTTTGCTCAAAGAATGGAAATGGCCCACTGTAATACCAGCAGGGCCCCCGATCATCAGCAGAGTCCGAATCAGCGTGGCCTTGTGGCCTGGCCGGCTGGAGGGGCAGGGCGTCCAGAGGCTGCCCTCACTGCCCTAAGGGGCATGCCGCCGGAAGGGTGGGGCGTGCCGCTGAAAAGGGGAGGGGCGTGCCGCTGGAGGGGGTGGGGCGTCGAGCCCCACATGGTGAGCTGTTAAGGGATTGGACAGTGGGTAGCTTCGGGGAGGGGCATGAATGTCCGTTGGGAGCTGTTGGCAGATGAAACCCTGAGTCCATTGGAGAAGGGAAGGGGCGCAGCCTATATAGGCCGCATGTTCTGAGCACAGGGGAGTGGAGCGGGAGACAGCAGCAGGGGAAAGCCTAGGGAGCAGAGTAGGGCAGGCCTGTGGAGAATGGAGAAGCCTGCAGAGAAGGAGGGAGGAAGGAAAGGAAAAGCCTCCTCTCTGGCGCTTTGGAGGTCTGAGGTTTGCCGGTGTGCCGAGCGAGTAATTGGTGGCTTGCAGACCACCTAATAAAGGCCGGGGCTGCCCACGGGCGACTTGGAGGTTTGGTAGTCTAGGCTGCTCTTGGACTTAGGACCGACCTCTAAAGAGCAAGACGATCCATCGAGGCACAGTTAAAAATAACAAATCTATTGACACTATTTACACCAGAAAGGGGGCCTGCAACTACTTTGTCCTGGGCTAGATACCCAGAACCAAGAGCAGCCTCGACTGACAGACCTCCAAGCCTCCGATGGGCAGCCCTGACCTTTATTAGTTGGTCTGCAAACCATCAATTAGTCGTTCTGCAAACCTGCAAACCTCAGACCTCCAAAGGGGAAGGGCTTTTTTCCCCTTTCTTCCCTTCCTCCTCCTCTGCAGGCCTCTCCGCTCTCCACAGGCCTGGCCTGGCCTGCCCAGCCCTGCCCCGGGAGGCGCCTCTCCACGGGCCTCTCTAGAGGGAGGCCCCGATGACCCCCGAGGAGGTCCCATGTGGCCTCTCAAGGAGGCCTGCCCTGCTCTGCTTGGTGCCTCTGGCCTGCTTTCCCCTCCTGCTGTGTCTCTCTCCACTCCATCTCCCTGCTCTGTACTTCACTCTCCGTCTCTTCTTCATGGCTCTCTCCTCTACTCCCACAGGACTAATGGTTTCATCTGCCTAACGGTTTCCAACTGCCATTCATGCTCCTCCCCCAAGCTGCCCACTGTCCAATCACTTTTTGACAGCTTGCCATGTGGGGCTTGATGCCCCGCCCCTTTCAGCGACATGGCACGCCCCTCTGGCGGCACGCCCCTCTGGCGGCACGCCCCTCTGGCGGCACGCCCCTCTGGCGGCACGCCCCTCTGGCGGCACGCCCTCCAGTGGCCGGGTCCTCTGAGTGGTGAGGCGCGCCACTTGGTGCCCCGCCCCCTGCAATGGGCTGCCCCAGAGGGCTCTGCTGATCATCCCGGCCTGCTGGTTATTACATTGGTTCTGGGTATCTAGCCCAGGACTAGGGAGTTGCAGGCCCCCTTTCTGGTGTAAATAGTGTAAATGTTTTTGTCTTTCACTGTGCCTCAATGTGTCTTGTGCTTTGGAGGTTATGATTATAGCCAACATCCTCTCCCCTAGCACCACAGCTGGAACTGTCCATGCTTCAGCTTTGCACTATTCTTTACATCCAGACCATTTATCTCACTTTATCTCTCAGGAAACAACTATGTTTTCACTGTGTATGTGTCCCTTGTACCATTAGCCTTCCTTTCATTTAAACAATTCGCTTCACAAACATAGGGCTACCAGTGCACTTTCCTAGGTCCAGGGAGTGATGAGATAAAAGACAACTCATCCTAAAAGAACGTATCCTCTTATTGGAGGAATGAGTAGAAAACACAGGGTTAAACGCTACAGAATTAAATCCCAGCTGTTGGTGAGGCAGAAAAGGGAGCATCACTTAACAAGCCGAGATGTGGGCAGGCTTCAGAAAGGGTGGCTTATTACCAGCTGTCTTCCTAAAAAGGTAAACACAAAAGAGGGAAGGAAATGTGTGCCACTGTCACCTTGGGGGTCGAAGCAGGGAAGGGTAATGGTTGAACTACAGGGAATACTGGCTCGCCCTGTCGGAGGTCATGATGAATGGCCTAGATCTGTCACCTACCCTACGCCCTGAGGAATGAGTGAGCTATACCTGGGCTGTAGGCTGACCAGGAGAATTCTCAAGGTGGTCACTGGCGCTACAACAGTCCAGGCTGGTGGCAGGATAAACTAGTTGGTGGTCGGCCAAAAGTCGTTCAGCCTATTACCAGTTCACTAAGACAAACGACAGACGCCTCACAGCCTGCCCCAGCTGATATCTGGCCTCCACTCGAGGCCACTTGGCCTCCACAGTGGCCACCAGCCACGCCGGCCGGCCCCCCACAAAGGGAAGCAGCATTCCTGAGGTCCGCCAGGAGAGGCTTCCGGAGACCTCGCGAGATTTCCCGAGAGCTGCGGGCCCGCCGGGAGCACCTGGTCGCCGGGCAACGGTCGGCGTCCTCAGAGTGAGCGGGCGCTGCGGGAAACTCCCCGAACTGGAGCCAACGGGCTGGGCCAGTCCTGCTAGTGGAGAGGTGCACCACCGCCCTCGGGAAGAAGCCTGGGGGGCGTAAGACTTTCCCGGGGACCCGGTGGCTGGGGCCCCCGTCCTCAGTAGTGGAGAATTCCCAGAAAGTCCGGGAGGGCTGCGAGGCCGGGAACGGGCTGGGGAGGAAGGGGGTGCGGGTGGAGGGAGGCCGCGGGGGGGGGGGGCACGGGGGGAGGGGGTGGACGGGATGGGGAGGGTGGACGGGGCGGGCGCGGGTCTGAGCGTGAACCGGGAGCCATCCCTACGTGGGATTGTGGGTGGAAATTAAATTCGGAAGACGAGGAGCCCGGGGGGATGGAAGCCCATTCAATACTAGACTGGCCCCGCCAGGAAGCAGGGCCCGATGACTGACAGACGTCTGGAGGCCATCCAGAGAATACACTGTTTGAAAGCAGTTTCTCAGACTGTGGATAAAAATGATGAACCTGACCTTGCACTCCAGGCCTGAACGTTGTCCCTTGTACGCTCAAGGATAGTGCTCCAACACTCGAGTCAGCTCCACTTCCAGCTTTTTTTTTTTTGGCGGTTAATTAGAGACAAGTCTCAAGGACTTTCCTGCCCAGGCTTGACTTCAAACCACTACCTTCAGATCTTAGCTAGGATTACAGGCAGGAGCTACTGGTGCCCTGTGAACCTCTCTTCACAGAAGATTGAGGGCTGTCCACAAGTGTTGCCAGGATCATTTGTATTATTCCTGTTTACTAAAATATATCTCACTACTAGGTTCAAACTCCAGGGGCTTCTAAAACAAAGAAACAACAATATCAATAACGTTTAAACTGATATTTTAATAAAATAGTGGTACTTGGATGAAATAATCCTCTCTTGGGGACTGCCCCCATGTAGATTTTTTTTTATTTATTAGTCTCTATTATTTTGTATTGTAGGATGACTCATTTCTCTCCCTTTTCCTATCAAGCTACTGGAAAGTTTTCTTATAGCTTACTGATTAGGTTCATTGATCCTTCCAATTTGGTTTAGAAACATTTCATTTGAGTTTGCCTCTCTCTTATTACCTGTTTTACAGTGTTCTACATGAACACTGATTTATAAACACAGAATTTATTTGTAGCAAAGAATGTAGCACCCTAGTGAATGCAATCACTAGGAAAAGGGAATTAGGTAAATTGAGGCAATGGGTAGGGTTGTGAGAGATGGGGAAGAATTATGGGAGGAGTGACATTGATCAAGATCCATTATACTCATAAATTAGCAAATTGAATTGAAACCAACTTGTGCAACTACATAAAGATAATAAGAAAGGACAGGAAAATAGTGTGCCACTCTAAAATACGTTGTTCTGGCATATTAACTGTCTTGTGTTAAAAATATTGTAAAAGAGATCACTCTAACCTTCAGTTTGTGTGTTAAAACTGTGACCTGAAATTCTCATATGAAAGATTTCTTCCCTATTTATAATGTATTATTACCATCCAGGATAGGAAGCTGAGGCCCAGGGAGATGCCTACAACTAGTGGTCATAGACTAACCCACATACAGCTAGCCACTTTTCTATGAATGAATCAATATATTGCCTGTCACATTTTCAGTTTCCTAGTTTTGTCTTCAATATGTATGTGTCCAACCCTATGTCTTTGAGTCTTCATTTTCTTGTGAAAACTTGTACTCAATAAACTTATATTGTTTTCTTCTCTTTCTTGGACCTGTGTCAATTTAGTTCTCAGGCTCAGCCAGAAAAAAAAAATTCCCAGAGAATAGTCATTCATGGGGATTCACATTATCCATTTTTTTTAGCAGCCAAAAGTAAAACTTGTGATAACATGTCTTAGAAGTTGCAATCCCAGTAAAACAGGAGTGAAGGAATGAAAGGAACTGGTATATATGGGAAGAGAGCAAATGTAAGAGAGTCTGTAACTCAACAGCATATTTACAGAGTTTGAAATTAATATGTCTCCAAAAATGGGCAGGGGAAAGAAGAGGCCCTCTCTCCTACATGGTCAAAACCAGGCTCAAATGGTCATCTCCTTCATAAATAATAATACAGTACTCCTCCTCAGCTGCAAGAAGGTCCTGATTTGCATAACCTCTTTAAAACATGTATTCTCGCCTCAGTGTCAAGAGATACTGAAACTTCTAGAAATAGTTCTAAAATTGTAAAAAAAGATATAAGTGCATTTTAAACTTTAAAAACTTACCTCTAATGAAAATACCACATCTTGTGGAAGCAACTAAGGGTATCCTCTTAACAAATGCATCTTTTTTTTTTTTTTTGGTCGGTCATGGAGTTTGAACTATGGGCCTAGGTGCTGTCCCTCAGCTCTTCAGCTTAAGGTGAGCACTCTACCACTTGAGCCACAGCGTCACTTCCGGTAATGGTTTATTGGCAATAAGAGGCTCACAGATTTTCCTGCCCTGGTTGGCTTTGAACTGTTAATCCTCAGATCTCAGCCTCCTAGAACTCAGCCTCCTGAGTAGCTAGGATTATAGGCATGAGCCACCAGCACTTGACAAATCCATTTATTTTTATATTAGGAAAAACAGTGTAGATGGAAAGCCATTGACATTTAGACCTTGAGAAATGAAAATAGGAGAAAAGAAATTTTCAAAAGATAAATCAGAAATTAATGAAACTGCAGTAGAGATGATTAAAAGCTTTAAAACTGGCACTTTCTAAATTACTTAACAAAATATACAACTTGTTAAAGATAAAACTGACAAGACTAATCAGGAAAAATGGAGAAAATACAAAATAGGAAAGGCAAAGGGAACCATCATAGCATTAAAGTTAGAATATTAAAATAGGAGAACAAGTTTTATGACAACAAATTTAACATGTAGACAGAAAAGTAAATTGTGTGTGCATGCATTCAGATTCCAGAAGAAAGAAAACAACCTATAACCATTGGAGGAACTAAAACAACAGTTAAACCCTAAACCACTACCTCATAAAAGAACAATCATCGAGTACAGTTAATTTTACAGGATACAATAAACATATATTCAAGGAATTAAGAGTAGAATATTCACCAAGCCATGAAAGTATAAGAAAGAAAAGGGCCAAGTCCTCTAAGCATAGATTTTTTTAAATCCTAAATAAAATACTAGCAAACTTAATCATTTATATTCATATATTCTTTTTTTTTTTTTTTTTGGTCAGTGGTAGGGCCTGAACTCAGCCTGGGTGCTGTTCCTCAGCTCTTCAGCTCAAGGCTAGTGTTCTACCACTTGAGCCACAGCGTCCACTTCCAGCTTTTCCTGCTTATGTGTGCTGAGGAATCGAACCCAGGGCCTCATGAATGCAAAACAAGCACTCTACCACTGAGCCACCTTCCCAGCCCCATATATTCAGTATTTTCTTTTTTAAGTTTAGTCTATCCCTGAAATGTTAAAAAAAAAAAAAAAAGGAATAACAGTAATAGTTGGTTAATGTCCTAACCACAGAGTAGCTATTTGGGGCGGGAGGAACAAGCATCATAACTTAGTATTGAAATGTTGCAAATACTTTGAGTCCAGTACCAGTAGCAGGAAGACAAGTGTCTTGTTGTCTGGATTTTCAACATGAAAACCAAAAAATAGGGCTATAAATTATTGGAATTAGTTGTCATTCACAGTATTACTGAATATAAAATAAAATATCCAACTAGCCATTTTTATATAGAAACTACAAATGTAAAATATGAGTTCTAAAAGTATGACATTTATATCATTAGCAAAAACATAATAATCCCCAAAATTACAACAAAATTTATGCATGGCCTTAATTTAGAATAGAATTATAAAGCGAATGAAAGTCATTAATGAAGCATATTCCAAATGGAGAGATAAACTATAGTCATGGAAAAGAAAACTCAGCAATAGAGAAAGTGCTTCACAAATCGTTCATAAATTCCATGCAATTCCTAACAAAATCCTGAGAAAAAATTTTCATAGACCATGACAAATTATGTTAAAATTGAATAAAATAGTTAAGGACCAAGAATAACCAAAGTAATCTGAACTGATTTAGACAGTATCAAACTGAGGATATAGGCATACATGAAACAAAATAACATTCTCTTTTTTTTTTTTTTTTTTTGGTCATGGGGCTTGAACTCTTGGCTTGGGCGCTGTCCCTCAGCTCTTCAAGCTCAAGGCTAGTGCTCTACCACTTGAGCTACAGAGCCACATCTGATTTTCTGAATGGTTTATTGGAGATAAGAGTCTCACGGACTTTCTTACCTGGACTGGCGATCCACGATCCTCAGATCTCAGCCTCCTGAATAGCTAGGATTACAGGTGTGAGCCACAATCCTCAGATCTCAGCCTCCCAAATAGCTAGGATTACAGGTGTGAGCCACCAGCTCCCAGCTGATTCTTCATAAGGAAAAAAAAAGATTGAGTTTTTATTCTCATTTTTTACACATTAATCAGTTCAAATCTAAATGTATAAAGCAAAACTTTTAAAAGGAAATATAAGTAACTTGTAAAATTAGGGTAAGGAAGGAGTTATTAAGTAAAGCACAAAAAAATGAACAAAAAACAAATTCTTACTATATTTGATTACATCTTTAAAAAAAAAGCTGCTTAGATGCCATTGTTAAAAACAAGTGTGGGAATAAAAAGACAGGCCAGGATTGGGGAAAAGATATTTGCCATACTTACAGTGAGGGATGGAGGGGGGGAAGATTATTATTATTGGAAAAAAATGTGTTACTAAAAAACAAAACAAACAAAAACAACAGTTACCAGAAAGTGGAACTCCATATGGCCAATAAGCAGGAACATACTCTCCGCAGTAAGTAGAGAATGGCAAATTACGACATGCAATATTATTTAAGCATGGCAAAAAGTTAAAACTGCAAAGTTTTAACCTTTTTTTTTAAACTTTTTTATCAGATAATGTAAAAAAAAATCCTATGAAGAACACTCTGGCAAAATATAGTATGGTTGGAAGTATGCAACCCAGAAGGAGCTACTCCTAATTTCAGCTTTAAAGTAGCTTTTGCCCATGTACTAAAGGTGACCTGTACACAAATCATAAAAGCAGCATTGTAAAAGCAAAAGCCAAACAATATAAACACCCAAAGATCATGCATTAGGAAAAATAAATTTCTTACAATAAAATGTCTTGAAAGCTGGGCTCTGGTGGCTCACGCCTGTAATCCTAGCTACTCAAGAGGCTGAGAGCTGAAGATCAGAGTTCAAAGCCAGCTTGGGCAGGAAAGTCCATGAGACTTTTTTTTTTTTTTGGGTCCGGTCATGGGGCCTGAACTCTGGGCCTGGGCACTGTCCCTCAGGTCGTCAGCTCAAGGATAGCGCTCTACCACTTAAGCCACAGCGCCACTTCCGGCTTTTTTCTTTTTGCTTATGTGGTGCTGAGGAATTGAACCCAGGGCCTCAGGCATGCAAGGCAAGTGCTTTAACCACTGAGCCACCTTCTCAGCCCCTTTTTTAAGTCTTAAAAAGTAATTTTTTTCTTGTGAAAATACTGTACAGAGGGGTTACAATTACATGGGCAAGATAATGAGTACATTTCTTATCAAGCATTGTAGCCCTCCTCCTTTGTTTCCCCTTCCCATCCCTTCCCATCCTCCCCCCGGCCCCCCCACCCAATCCTTCCCCCACCCCACCCCCCACCAAAGTTGTAAAGTTCGCTTTCGACATAACGACTTGTACATCTCATTGTTGCAATGGGTCCACCTGTATCCCTATTTAAATGATTTGTTTTTCCCTTCCCCTCCACAAATTATACTGACATCAAATACAGTGAAAGCAGGGGTTATACTGTGGGGGAAGGACACACAAAGCAACAAAGAAATAATCTTATAAATGTGTTAGTAACAATCGCATGAAAGAAAAAAAAAACATTTGAAAACATATCTTAGGGTTCATTTCCCTAACATCACCTTATCTGACCTTTTCTGCTTGACTCAGACATATACTAGATATTGCAAATAAGGGAAACCATGGGACCTATGTTTCTTTGGGCCTGGCTTACTTCACTTAATATAATTTTTTCCAAGCCTTTCCATTTCCTAACAAATGGGGCAATGTCATTCTTTCTGATGGAGGCATAGAATTCCATTGTGTATATATATATATTTTCTTGATCCATTCATCTACTGAGGGGCATCTGGGTTGGTTCCATATCTTAGCTATGGTAAATAATGCTGCAATAAACATAGTTGTGCTGGTAGCTTTAGTGTGGTCTTGTTTGTAAACATTTGGGTAAATGCCCAAAAGTGGGATTGCTGGGTCATAGGCGAGCTCTATGTGGAGTCTTTTGAGGAACCTCCATACTGCTTTCCAAAGTGGTTGAACAAGTTTACACTCCCACCAACAATGCAGTAAGGTTCCCTTCTGTCCACATCCCCTCCAGCATCTGTTGTTATTAGAGTTCTTGATTTTAGCCATTCTAACGGGTGAGGTGTTATCTCAATGTTGTTTTGATATGCATTTCTTTTATGGCTAGGGAGGGTGAGCATTTCTTCATGTGTCTATTGGCCATCCTTCTTCCTTCTTCAGAGAAGTTTCTCTTTAAGTCTTTAGCCCACTTGTTTATTGGGCAGTTGTTTCTTTGAAGATTTGTTGTTGGGGTATTTAATTTTTTGAGTTCCAGGTATATTTTAGATATGAGACCCTTGTCCATTGTGTGGCTAGTGAAGATCTTCTCCCAACCATGAGACTCTTCTCCAATTACTCACCAAAAAATTCAAAATAGATCTGTGGCTCAAATGATAGAGCACTAGCCTTGAGAAAAAAAGCTCAGGGATAGTGCCCTGGTTCAAGCTAAAGGACTAACACAGATGCACAAAAAATGTCAAATATTCTAGGGCAACACACATCAACACAGATAACTGGGGATGAAACCCAAATGATCTGCCACTGAGCTTCAAGCTTTTAATGGGTTTACATTTTACACTTACCTGCGGTTCTATGGTGTCATGTAATATTTATACTTAGTGTTTTAAGAGCAGAGTTAAAAGTTTTTCTTTTCACTAGAAATTTTGTAAATGCACCTGAACGATAAACTTCAAATTTTGTTTAAAAATCATATGTAAATTTCAAAAATTATGACTATATTTTATTTTGAAGAATATATATTTTGCATTCTGAAGAACTTAGCAATACATTCTGCAACTTCACATTTTTATTGTGGTAATTTATTATAGGCTGAGTAATAACATGTCTCTGTGTAAGAAAACATATTTATCATTTTTTTTAACTGAACTTATTTTCTCTCATAAGCACTGATTTTCCCAAGACACTATATAACTTGGTTGGCAAGATTCCAGATATATTTGAATACTAATTCATAATTTCACACTACTTTTGGTTACATTTTTCATTTTAAAAAAATGAGGTACATGGGCTGGGAAGGTGGCTCAGTGGTAGAGCGTTTGCCTTGCGTGCATAAGGCCCTGGGTTCGATTCCTCAGCACCACATAAGCAGAAAAAAAACCGGAAGTGATGTTGTGGCTCAAGTGGTAGAGTGCTAGCCTTGAGGTGAAGAGCTGAGGGACAGTGCTCAGGCCCAGAGTTCTGGTCCTATGACCGGAACCAAAAAAAAAAAAAATGAGGTACAAACTGGCATTGGTCAGTGACACCTGTAATCCAGACTACTCAGGAAGCTGAGATTTGAGGATTGCAGTTCAATGCCAGCCAAGTAGGAAAGTCCATGAGATTCTTATCTCCAATTAACTACCAAAAACTGGAAGTGAATCTGTGGCTTAAAGTGGTAGAGCACTATCCTTGAGCACAAAAGCTAAGAGACATTGCCTAGGCCCAGAATTCAATCCCCCCCACCCCCACAAACAACAACAAAGGGATACAATTAGGGAAAACAGCATATTACATAAATAACTGTATTGTCTGGGTAATGGTGATAGAGAGAGGGGAAGGGTTGCCACCAACTATAGGCAACACATAGTTAAGTGACAAGAAATAATAATGTATTGGAGAACCTACTCCTATTTAATAATCCCAGTATACTGGAGGGGAAACAGTAAAGATGGATATATTTGTGAACAAAACAGTAACAGATTGATTATGATGTTGGTGAAGATAATGATAGCAAACATTATTGACTATGTACAGGTATCGTGGAAGAACATTTGTACTGGTTATCTCATGAATCTCCACACTGTCCTTTCGAAGTGAACATCATTATCCTTATTTGTTTGAGACAGGTTCTCAAACATATACACTTGTATGGCCGCAAACTCCTGAACTCAAGAAATCTCTTACTTCACCCTCAGAGTATCTGGGATTACAGGTAACACCTATGGGCCCAATTCCAATGGGTCCCTTATTTTGTCTTATTTATCTGATTATTCCACAGGGAAAGGATCCAGCCCAGGACTTCACACATGCTAGGTAAATGCTGTTCAACTGAGTCACACTACTAGCCCTCTGCTATTTACTAAATACTGAGGTAACCTACTCAAGATTATCTAATCAGTAAGCAGTGAAGCCAACATTTAAACCAAGAATTGGGAAGCACAGCATTTATGTTGTTTTTTCTGGATAGTACCATAATATGAAATTCATAAGCCAGCTCCATTTTCAAGTGTTTTGTGTTGTTTGCAATGTATAACTTAAGGTTTTCATATCATGCATTCTTATTTATGAGTTTTATGATATAAATATATTTATTGTGATTACTATGGAAAAGACAGACAAGAAGACCTAGTCCCATTCTTAGCCAACACTAGCTTGAGAAGCTAGACCTCATTCTCTGGGATGTAGCTTCTTCACCTATAAACTGAATATTGGACACTATTTCTTCAGGTCCTTTTTATTCCAAGAGAAAAAAATAAAAATAGAGCTGGAGATGTAGGTCAGTGATAGGGTACTTGCCTAGTGAAGTCCTAGAATCAATTCGCAGCACCACAAAGAAAAAGAAAAGCTCCAAACAACAACTTGGTATTATTCAGTGAGAGGACAAGATTTAAAAGTAAAATCAAAAGCTGGGCTTGGTGGTACACATCTGTAGTTCCAGCACTTGCTAGGCTAGGGCAGGAGGATTGTGAGTTTGAGAGCAGATTGAGGAAAAGAAGGGGAAAGAAGAGGGGAAAGGAAAAAGGAAAGAAAAGAAAAAAAGAAGAGTGAAAAAAAGAGAGGAGAAAGAGAGAAAGAGAGAGAGAGAGAGAAAAGAGAAAAGAAAAGAAATAATCTGAGGACTGAGGCTTGAAGCCAACCCAGGCAATGAAGTCTATGAGACTCTTTTCACCAAGAAAGAAAGAAAAAAATGGGCTTTGGAATATAACTCAGAGCATCCTAGCATGTAAGAGGCTATGGGTTTGATCCTCAACATACAAAAAAGAAATGTGTGGATTAGCTTATTACATAATTTTGTATAAGAAAATAAGAATAAGTCAAATTGCTATATGATATCATAATATTCCCTTTCTCATTTATTTTTTAGAAAGCTGGAAATAAACTACCTAATTTGCTTCTGAACATGGTATCAAAAAAACTACTGCTGAGAATTTGATTTATAGAGACAGTATGGTTCGACTGACCTTGGAGTTGATTGCCAGAAACAGCAATCTGAAGCCTCGAAAGGATGAAACTATTGCACAATGCCTGAAGAAAATAACTCATATAAATTTTTCAGAAAGAAATATAGATGCAATTGTAAGAACTCTGAAATTATTTCCTATTTGTGTATGCTTAACAATGTACAGTTTGAATTTGATTTCAGAGCATACTGAATATAGCAACTATTTTGATTATAGTCATTGACTATAGTTTTTATTTCCTTCTTGCAATGTTAAACTTATTAAAATTAAGTATTACATTTATAGCAATGTCTTTGAAGATGAGCTGATCTTCTGGATAGTAGTAGCTGATGCCTATAATCTTAGCTATTCAGGAGGCTGAAATCTGAGGATCATGGTTTATAGTCAGCTTGACATCAAAGTCTAGGAAGACTCTAATTAACTACCAAAAAGCTGGAAGTGAAGCTGTGGCTCAAGTGATAGAGCACTAGCCTTGAGCACAAAAGCTCAGGGACAGTTCTCAGGTCCTGAGTTCAAGCCCCCCAGTACTGGCAAAAAATGATCTGGTCTGATTATCTTTAAGTAGGTTTAGATGATAATAATAATTCTTTATTCTTGAACTTCCTGTAATATGCTGGTGACAGAATCTTTCAGCTTTGGGATGTTTGAAAACATTTAATCTTAGATTTGTTTTTGAAAGATTATTTTGGCTTAGTAGGAATTCTAGTTTGCTTTTTAAATTTTTACTTTATTATTATAGAGGTGATATACAGAGGGATTACATTTACATGAGTTAGGTAACAAGTACATTACCTTTCATACAGTGTCATCTGTTTCCCTCATTCTCTCCCATTCCCTTCCTCCCATCTCCACCCACAACTTGTATAGTTCACTTTTATCCATGTCCAGTGCATTCCACTGCTGCACTTTTTCACCCTTTTTCCTCAAGTTCTGTGCCCTCCTCCCTATCCTCCCACAGATATGCATGTGAATACAGTGTATATTATGTAAAGAATACAGAATCATCAGAAAAAGAAAAAAACAAAAACTTTTGTTTCCATATCTTGGAGTTTATTTCAGTTTATATATGTTAATTTCTATAAATATGAAGAGGTACTTAGGCATTGCACCTTTGTGACTCTCTCCTAAGACTATTATCTTTTGGTCTCACTGTATGTGAGTGTCTAGAATCCTGTGAAATTTGTCATATCTCAGTACATTTTAGATCTAACTTCCACATATCAAAGAGAACATTTGCCATTTGTTTCTCTGATCTTGGCTTACCTCACTTAACATGATTTGTTCTACTTCCATCCATTTCCCTGCAAATGATACTATTTCATTCTAATGGCTTTGTAAAATTCCATTGTGTGTGTGTGTGTGTGTGTGTGTGTGTGTGTGTGTGTGTGTGCGCGCGCGCGCGCACCACATTTTTTGGATCCACTTATCTATTGTGGGGCATCTGCACTGTTTCCATATTTTGGCTATTTGTAAGTAAAGTGGCAATGAACATGGATGTGCTGGTGTCCTTATCATACCCTGGTTCATGATGTTCAGGGTAGATGTCTTGGGGTGGTATGGCTGGGTCTTAGATATGTCTATGTTTAGTTTTTTGAGGAACCTCCAGACTGCTTTCAAAAGGGGTTGTAGTAGGTTACATTCCCCACCAGCAGTGGGAATATTCCTGCCAGCATTTGTTGTTCAAATTAAAAATGTTGGCCAATATAACTGGGATGAGATGAAATCTCAGAGCTTTTTAATGTGTATTTCCTTTATGGCCAGGGATGACGAGCATTTCCTCATGTTTCTATGTCATTCTTACCTCTTTTTCTGAGAAGTCTCTCCTTAGCTCCATTGCCCATTTAGTGATTGGATTAGTAAGTTTGAGAGGGGTTAGTTTCTTGAGTTCTTTGTATAAATTGGATATTTGTCTGATGTATTGCTGATAGATATCTTTTCCCAATTGTTTGGCTGTCTTTCTAGTTTAGTAACTATGTCCTTAGCTGTGCAGAATATTTTTAATTTTGATGTAGTCCCATTAGTCAAGTCTTTCTCATATCTGTTGGGCCCATTGGACTCTATTCAAGAAATTCCTGCCTATATAAGTTCTAATGTTTCTCCTACTCTGTCTTGCAGTAGTTTCAGAGTTTCAGGTCTGACATTCAGGTCTTTGACCTACTTTGAATTGATATTAGTGCATGGTGCCAGATGCACATGGCTTCCCAGTTTTCCCAACACCAATTGTTGAAGAGGCAATGTTTTTCCCACTTTATGTCATTGGCTCCTTTGTCAAATATCAGCTGTAAGTATGTATTTTATTTCTGGGTCTTCTAATTTGTTTCATTGATCTTCAGGTCTATTTTTATGCTAATACCAAGCTGTTTTTGTTACTATATCTCTGTAGTAGAGTTTGAGGCCTGGTATTGTGATAACATCTTCATTACTTTTTTTTTTTTGCCTAGAACTGCTTCTAGGTCTTTTGTTGTTCCATATGCATTTTTGGATTGTTTTCTCTGTATCAGTAAAGAACGTCATTGGGATTTTAATAGGATTTGCACTGAATTTGTATGTCATTTTTGGCAGTGTATCCATATTCACAATATTGATTTTACCTATCCATGAACATGGAAGGTCTTTCCATTTCCTGGTGTCCTCTTTGATTTCTTTCTTCAGATTTTTCTAGTTTTTACTATAAAGATCTTTCACATCTTTGGTTAGGTTAATTCCTAACCAAAGGTTAGGTTTGAGGTTATTGCAAATGGAATTGTTTTCATGATTTCCCTTTCTGCTTGTACATTGTTGGCATACAGAAAGGCTACTGATTTCTGTGTTCATTTTGTACTTTGGCAAACTGATCAGCTCTCAGATTGTGAGGGTGGAGTTTTTCTGGCCTTTTAGGTATAAAATCATGTTCTCTGCCATAGGGATAGTTTAATTTCTTCTTTCCCTATGTGAATCCCTTTTATGTCCCTTTCTTCCTTATTGCTCTGGCTAAGAATTCCAGAACTATATGGAAGAAGAGTGGAGAGAATAGGCCTTGCCTTATTTCTGATTTTAGGGGAAATGGTTTTAGTTTTTCCACATTTAGCATGATGTTTGCTGTTGGTCTGTCTAGATAGCCTTTATTGTTTTAAGGAATGTTCTTTCTATTCCTAGTTTCTCCAAAGCTTTTTAACATGAATGGATATTGTATTTTGTCCAAGGCCTTTTCTGAATCTTTTGAGATGATCATGTGGTTCTTGTCCTTGGCTCTGTTGACATGGTAAATTACATCTATTGATTTGTATATATTAAACCAACCTTGCATCTGCAGGATGAAGCCTACTTTGTCATAATGCATTGCTTTTTAAATTTGTTTCTGGATTCTGTTGGCTAATGAAGAGCTTTGCATCTATGTTCATCAGAGAAATTGGTCTGTAGTTCTCTTTTATTTGTTGGATCCTGACCTGATTTGGGGATAAGTGTGATATTGACTTCATAGAATGAGTCTTGGATTTCTCCCTCTGTTTCTATTTCACAGAAAAGCTAAAGGAGTATTGGTATTAGTTCATTTTAAAAAGTCTTTCAGAATTCAGCAATTAATCCATCCGGGCCTGGGCTTTTCCTTGTTGGAAGACTTCTGGTTACTTCCTCTATCTTGTGGCAAGTTAATTGATTGTTTAGCTGGTTTATAACTTCTTGGTTCAGTTTAGGCGGTTTGTATGTTTCTAAAAATTTGTCTACTTCTGCTAGCTTTTGTGAGTATGTGTTTTGAAAGTAGTCCTTTATAGACATTTAAATTTCTTGGCTGTTTGTTGTAATGTTTCCTGTGGCATCTCTGATCTTACTGATTTGAATCATATCTCTTATCGTTAACCTCACTAGTGGTCTGTAAATTTTATTAATTTTTTCAAAACAAAACCCTGTTTTTTGTTTCATTGGTTTTCTAGTTTAAAAAAATTTTGTCTTTTACTATTTTACTGTTTTCTGAGTGTTAAGATAATTCTTGGTTTTAATTTGGGAAACTTTAAAGCATACACTCTTTTGGGTAATTTGTAGTATCTATTGTCTTCGATACATTTTTATCCTTACAGATGAAAGAGAATTTCTTTGCAGTATAAAAGCTTCATGAGAGGAAGGATCATGTCTATTTTTGTTTATATTATGCTAAATCTAATGCAATAGTTGATTCAAGTGCTTAATACATCTATGTAATTTTTATTTGTTTACTTTTGGCAGTATTGGGGTTTTAAATTCAGTATCTTGCACTTTCTAGGCTGGTGTTCTATCAATTAAGCCATACCACAACCCTTAAATGCATAATGAATGAATGAACGAATGAATGAAACAGAAAAGTCTCAGGCAAAGTTAAGAGACATTTTGCAGTCAGGCACCCATGTACCCATGCCTATAATCTTAGCTACTCATGAGGCTGACAACTGAGGATCACAGTTCAAAGCCATCCTGGGCAGGAAAGTCTTATTAGCTCTAATTCTTATCTCTAATTAGCCACCAAAAGCCAGAAATGAAGAGATGATTCAAGTGATAGAGTGCTAGCCTTGAGTAAAAATGCTAAGGGATCGTGTCCAGGTCCTGAGTGCAGGCCCAGTATAAGAAAAAGAAAAAAAAAACATTTTGGACAGTGTGATAACTCCTAGTATTGGAAAAATAAAAAGCAATACAAAGGATGTCTTGGAGAAACATTATAGCATTATAAAAAGTTTCTGTTTCTGGGGGGCTGGGGTACAGTGCTTGCCTTGCATGCATGAGGCCCTGGGTTCGATTCCTCAGCACCACATAAGCAAAAAGAAAAAAGCCGGAAGTGGTGCTGTGGCTCAAGTGGTAGAGCGCTAGCCTTGAGCTGAAGAGCTGAGGGACAGTGCCCAGGCCCAGAGTTCAGGCCCCACGACCCGACCCAAAAAAAAAAAAAAAAAAGTTTCTGTTTCTGGCAGGTACCTGCGTACTACTGTGGCTCACGACTGAAATCCTAGCTACTCAGGAGGCTGACATTTGAGGATCGAAGTTCAAAGCCAGCAGGAGACTCTTACCTCCAATTAACCACTCAAAAACTGGAAGTGGCACTGTGCCTCAGGTGGTAGAGTGCTAGCCCTGAGCACAGAGAGGCTTAGGGACAGTGCCCAGACAGTCCCACAATCAACCAAAAAAAAAAAAAAAGAAGTTTCTGATGATCCTTCTACATTCAACTTACTAGCCTCATGTTTCCTTTTTGTTGCTCAGGGCTCTGTACCTTTTCATACAATACATAGACTGCTTTTTCTGAAGTGCCCCCATTTAAAGTTCTTTTGTCCTAGCTCATGCCTAGAATATTAGATACTCAGGAGGCTCAAAGGTTAAAGCTAGCTCTGGCAGAAAAGTCTTTAAAACTCTATCTCTTAAGTAATCTGCAAAAAGACTGAACTGCCAAGTGCCTGTGGCTCACGTCTGTAATCCTAGCTACTCAGGAGGCTGAGATCTGAGGATCGAGGTTCAAAGCCAGCCCGGGCAGGAACATCTGTGAGACTCTTATCTCCAATAAATCACCAGAAAACCAGAAGTGGTGCTGTAGCTCAAGTGGTAGAGGGCTCACTTTGCGCTGAAGAGCTGAGGGACAGCACCCAGGCCCAGAGTTCAGGCCCCATGACCACCAACAATAACAACAAAAAGGCCAAACTGGAGACACCAGCTGTGAGGCCAAGTTCAAGCCTCAGTACCAACACACAAAAAGTAAAAGACCTAGAGAATGGCTCAAGTGGTAGGGTATTTGCAAGTAAATTAATGGCAATGAGTTCAATCCCCAGTATTCCCCACCCCATAAAAAAAGAAAGAAAAAAACAGCTTTAAAAAAAAAAACCTTTAATTTCTTATGTCCAAAGCAGTGTCCATTATACATATATTATATAGTAATATATGTTTATGTATATATAAACATATATATATATATATGTCAACCCTACCATGCAGAGATAACCATTTTTAATTTTTAGGTGATGTCCTTCAGTCTTTTTTCTAGGCATGCATTGATATAAGTTTACAATATTGGGTCCTACTTTTTTCACCTAATTATGTATCTTGAAATATATGAGATAGTGCTAAAGAAACAAAAGGATATTTAGTGGTTTTGTGGTATTCACTTCATAGCATTATTCATAGTTTTTTATTAATCCACTATTCTTGAATATCAGATGATTTCTAATTTACAGTATTTAAAACTATAATTTACTTCCAGACCTACAGAAAGATTAAGCCCTGCTTCAAAAGTGAGAACAATAATTTTCTCAATGACTCAGCCTTCAGAGGAACCTACTTGTTTCCAAGGGAAGTTGTTAGCAATGGGAAAATCTTAAATACAATTTGACTGGTATAGTTATAGTATGCTATAGCCTTGAAGTTATTCAATAATCATTGTTATCTTATTTGGATGTACTTAGAACAGTGAACTATCATTTTATATTAATCTCAGGAAAATTTGTTGCATGCTCAAGTGAAAATTTTTTTTTAAAATCCTAAGTTTTCAGAAAAACTTAAACATGATTGGTTTTTTTCTTTTCAGGATGACCTCTCTCATTGCAAAAATCTTAGTGTTTTATATTTATATGATAACCATATTAGTCAAATCACTAACCTGAATTATGCCACCAATCTAACCCACCTGTACCTACAAAACAACTGTATTTCATGTATAGAGAACCTCACATCATTAAAGAAACTGGAAAAACTGTAAGTGCCTTTAACATACTGTTAGCTGCTCATCATTATCCCTGTACATATTTTATGTAGGTAACTATTCCCAATCTACATTTAGTTGCAAAAGTACATTGAAAATACATTTGAATACGTTTCTCACATGTTGTTTGTGGAACAGGTCAATATTTTTATTTTTATATTATTAATATGAAATAAAGGGCTGGGAAGGTGGCTCTGTGGTAGAGCGCTTGCCTTGCGTGCTCGAGGCCCTGGGTTCGATTCCTCAGCACCACATAAGAAAAAAGCCGGAAGTGGCGCTGTGGCTCAAGTGGTAGAGCGCTAACCTTGAGCTGAAGAGCTGAGGGACAGCGCTCAGGCCCAGAGTTCAGGCCCCACAACCAGACCCAAAAAAATAAAATAAAATAAAAATATGAAATAAACAATTTAGGTTTTAGTAAGTGACATCTTTTTGGGGAGGGTTGCTATAAATTGTATTATGGGTTTTTATGTACACCTAAAACATCCTAATGTAGACTTATTTGCCATGGAACCCATATAAATTCTGTACCTTTCAGCATAACTCAGAAGGTCAAGTTTGTTTCAACTGGGCAACTGGGCATGTAATCCTAGTACTCAGGAGGTAGAGGAAGTATTGGGAGTTTGAGGCCAGCCTGGGACTCTTAAAAATTGTTTAGAATTGATAATCTAGATGTAGATTTGACTGTATGGTGTCATTTACTGCCTATAGTAATTCTAGTTAATGAAGACAAGAAGGCTGAAGTTTCTCAGATTAGGATGAATACTGTGTTTCTCAAAAAGTCAGTGGCCTTAGAATGGGAACACAAAGGTGAGGTGAGGAATGCTTATTTAAATGCAAGTTGCTGGTTTTCCACCTAGATCCCAACCTAAATCCCAGCTGATTTTCCTATACCCTAATCTAAGAGAAGCCCTCATAGATAGTTGAGTACAGATAACTTCAATTAAAAACATTTTAAAGTGTGTTTTTTTAGATTAAGTCTAAGAATACAATTCATCATTTAAACCAACTTTTCACAGATTCAACATAAATGCCAGATCTTTGCCCAGCTCCATTTGTTATTACACTTTTATCATGCTGAAAGACCATGGCATTCTCAGAAAGTCTATTTAGAACTACTATGTTTTGCAGGTATCTGGGAAGCAATTACATTGCTGTCATAGAAGGTTTGGAAGGAATAGAACTCAGAGAGCTTCATGTTGAGAGTCAGCGGCTTCCCCTTGGAGAAAAGCTTTTGTTTGATCCGAGAACTCTTCAATCTCTGGCAGTAAGCCAAATTTAAATGCTTGACAAGAATTATAGTGAGCAGTAAATGATGATGGAGCAGGACACTGCACACATTCTGCTTGTTTGAGAGGTCATTCAAGACTCTGAGGACTGATTTGGTTTTTTGTGTTTTCTTTTTCTTGAACAACATCTCAGAGTACATCTCAGAGTATGATAGTCACTTAATAGTAACTGGATTCAAAGGAGGATGTAAAAAGATTATTTGTAAACTAAGCTTCTAGTGCAGATGCTAATTAATTCATAATTTGGGTCTTGCTGATGATCATGGACTAAATTTAAAAACTTGATGAAAAATCCTAAAGAAAAGGGACTACACAATTATTTGGCAACTTTTTGTTTTGTTTTCATTTTGAACAAAACTCATAGCCTCTCAATCTCATGAGCCCCATTCACTGTCCCACCTCTTCCAAGGGCTGGTGCTTTACCACTTTGCCACACCTGAAGTCTAGCCTTTTTTCTTGTTAAATGAGAATTCGAATTTTGAGAATTTTTCTGCTTCCCCTGTAGCTAGGTTTACAGGTATGAATCACTGTCACCCAGTTTGGGTTTTGTTTATGAGGCAGGATCTCATCATATTACCTTGGCTGTCCTCAAACTCATTACCCTCCTGGTTGAGGAAGGGCAGGGAAGGAAGCAGGAAGGAAGGGACAGGAAGAGGGAGGAGAAGTGGAAGGGAAAAAACAAGAAAGGAAGAAACGGTACCAGGGGCCTAGAAGTTTGGTTCAAGTGGTGGAAAATGTGCCTATCAAGTATGGGATCCTGAGATCAAGCCCAAGTATTACTAATAAATGTCAAAATATGTTTTTACAGCTGCCTATATGGATGCCTTGGTGTATGTGTATGGTACCCACATTCCTGGGCTTCCAATTTAAGACAACTTTGATTTAGTATTCTTATATTATTTATCCTGTGTCCTCATTAAAATTATTACTTCAAGTGACTTCAGAATACGTGGATTGTAAAGTACAAACTAGAGAGGTAATGACAAAAATAAAACCCAGATAATGTTGATCATGTTTCCTCTAGAAAAACAAAGAGAGAAAAGCATTTTTACCTATGATAGTAGAAGTTTTAGTGACATTTAGCACAAAAAGATAATTTGCTATAATAAACATTTTTCTATACTGTGCTACAAGAAAAAGGAGAAAGTAATATATAGTATAGTTCTAAAAGTTCAATTTGAAAAACTACAGAGCATTGAAACAAAATCTCCGTATCTTTTAATTGTCTTGCTTTAAGAGCAAAACAAGCAGAAATGATCATTCTTAAACTTTTTAAGAATTAGGAATTCTGGTTCCTACATATAATGTCTAAACTGTTTATTAGTGGTAGTTTATTTTTTCTTGCAGAAATCTCTCTCTATATTGAATATCAGCAACAACAATATTGATGACATAAGAGACTTACAAATCCTGGAGAATCTTAATCACCTCATAGCCGTTGACAACCAACTTCTACATATGAAGGTAGTATAAATAAAATTAATTTTTAAATATTCGCATGAATTATGATTTGAGAACGTGCTTTGAAATATCTATAATTTAAACAACTTTTTAGAAATTTCTGGATTTGTTATGAAACTATCTTATGATTCTCTACTTCTTAATGTATGTTTATATATGTTTAATATGTTTACATGTAATTCATCATAGTCTTGCTTCTTTCACCAATAGAATAAAATTTCTCTGAGAAACGATATGCTTTTCCCTTCCACATTATTTGTCCATCAACTCTTTCCTTCTAGAGATTAGGTTTTTTCCCTCTCAACTCTGATATCCCCAATGAATGAATTTCTAAAAACTAGAATTCCACCTCAAGTCTCTCCTGGCTGCTTCTATGTAAAACCTGGGTGTTAAATTATCTGTATTCATATACTGTCATATTGTCCCATATTCATTCAACTAATTTTTTTTCAAATATGGACCAGCCACCTACATATTTGTCACAAACTGTCTCAAAGAAGAAGGAAATACTTGTTTCAGATCTCAAAAACCTACTGTGAACAAGAAATAAGATTAAAATATGATTCCATTTTTGTAAGTTTGGTAGCTCTAACATAGAGCCTAGAGCTAGGAAATGCCCACTGGAAACAATTACCCATATACTGAGCTGTTGCTATAACTTTAACGTTTATGGTCTGGCAATGGGGTGAGGTGTGATAGTCTTCTGACATATAATTGAGATGAAATCTTGCAAACTTTGATGCCCAGGCTATTCTTGAACTACAACCCTTCAATCTCTACCTCTCAAGCCAGGCTTGAGCCACTACACCTGTCTTCAAAAATATTTTTCTTATTGGGCATTTTGTATTCGTTATCATATTTTTTTAGTTTTTCTATGATGTTACCATATTTGTAACATAATATGATTTTCCAAGTAGAGTCTTAAACCAAATATACAGAACATACACTCCTATTCAAACTAGAGTTATAGGGATTTGATCTGAGTAGAGAAGGCCTGGGTTGAATATAGTGGCCCACATTCATCTACATGGGAAATAGGAATGAGGTGATCAACCAAAGACACTTGCCTTTTCTTAAGAAAGAATGGCAGAAAATTCTAATTTCAAATTGGCATCCATCTTAAGTGATGGTTAAGTATTTTCCCAAATGTTTTTTCTAAGCAATGGCTGGTGAATATATATATATATATATATATATACTTTTTTTTTTTTTTCCGTCAGTCGTGGGGCTTGAACTCTGGGCATGGGCACTGTTCCTGAGCTCTTCAGATCAAGGTTAGTACTCCACCACCTGAGCCATAGTGCCACTTCCAGTTTTCTGATGGCTAATTGGAGATAAGCGTCTCAGGAACTTTTCCTGCTGGGGCTGGCTTTGAACCTTGATATTCAGATCTCAGCCTCCTGAGTAGCTAGGATTACAGGTGTGAGCCACCGGTGCCTGACTATAAATACATCTTAAAGTATCCAATTACCTAGTATTACAATTAATAAATATTTCAAGTCTTATTCTACTATATTTTCAACTTTATATAGAGAAAAGAGAATATATACAGCCTTCAAATGATCCTAAATGAAATTTTCCTATATGACATTATGATCAAGTAACTTTGCCTACAGTGATTTACTCTTCAGCTATGTTAATAAGGCATAAGCAGCATAAATGTATAAACAAATCTGACAATTAGCATCTAAATAACCAAATCCTCATTGTTTTAAGATTGAATGTAGGACTGGGAAGGAGGCTCAGTGGTAGAGCGCTTGCCTTGCATGCCTGAGGCCCTGGGTTTGATTCCTCAGCACCACATAAGCAAAAAAGAAAAAAGCTGGAAGTGGTTCTGTGGCTCAAGTGGTAGAGCGCTAGCCTTGAGCTGAAGAGCTGAAGGACAGCGCCCAGGCCCAGAGTTCAGGCCCATGACCGGACCCCAAAAAAAAAAAAAAAAGATTGAATGTAATATCCCCTCCTCTGTGTTGCTTTTCTGAATCACTTCAAGTGGTTCATAATGTTTATTAGTTTCTGAACGCTTGGTACTATTTTAGGTGCTTGGAGAAGTACTTCCAAGATGCTAGTTTTATCATGATAAATAAAACAGGCAGGGTCTCTCCACTCAGGAAACTTACATCATAGTGGGACAAGGGAGGAAATGGCAAGAAAATACATAAGCAAAGAACACGATAAAGAAGGACTATGAACTAAATTGAATGACAAAACAGAAAAGGGCTCAGTGGATACTTTAAATTAGGTCATCAAGAAAGGGCTCTGAGGAAGTTACAGTTACCTTCATATCTGAAAAAAGAAAGAAAAGCAAAGATCTAGGGCAAGACCATGACAGGCATTAGGAACAGCAAATATGAAAGTTCTGAGGCTGAAGAGAGATTGGGGAGTCCAAGGAACCAGGTTAGTTCACTTTTGAGGGGTTCCAGATCGTAGCTCAGTTTCTGACACACAGCAGATACCCAATAAGTAATTGCTGAGTGACTAAAAGAAGCAGCAGTCTAATATGGGATTGGAAAGAAGGGAACAGATCCCAGATAATAAAGGACATAATTATGAGTTTTGACATCATTCTAAGTACAGTACAAAGTCATTGAAAAGACTATTATTTTTAATAGAAATTTTTGTCTGGTATGTGAATAATAAGGTTCAAGAACTCCAGCAAAAATAGTTGGTAGCTGGGCTGAAAGGTGTGGTTCACATGGTAGAGCATCAGCCAAGCAAGCAAGCCTAGAAAGCATGAAGCCCTGAGTTCAAACTCTGGTATCAAGAAAAGAGAGAGAGAGAGAGAGAGAGAGAAAGAGAGAGAGAGATGAGAGATACAGGGATGGACAGAGAGAGATACAGAGACACACACAGAAAAAAATGAAGGAAGGAAATGAAAAATAAAGGGAAAAGGAAAGAAAAGAAAAAGAAAGACAAAAAGAACAAACAAATGAATGAAAGAACGAGAATAAAAGAAAGAAAGAGAGGGAGGGAAGGAGGGAGGAAGGGAGGGAGGGAGGGAAGGAAGGAAGGAAGGAAGGAAGGAAGGAAGGAAGGAAGGAAGGAAGGAAGGAAGGAAGGAAAAAAGGAACACAGGCAGGCAGGCAGGCAAGCAAGCAAGCAGTTAGGAAACTAAGAAATGAAGAGAAAATGATTGCTTGGAAATAAAGAAAAGGGGAAGTGTTGGAGGTATATTTTTAAATAGACAACCATGGAACTTGAGTAGGGTGTAGGGATAAAGGAAAGGAAAGGTGAGAATTAAGGAGACCTTGTAGTTTTTGTGTGACAACAGAAGACTTCATCAGCTGATGAGGAGGGGTAATGAGGAAGAGAATCCATTTGGACATTGAATTGGACCTGTCAGGTAGGCATCTGGAGTTCAACAGGGAAGTAAGATTGATAAGTTTGAGAACCAGCAGCATTTACATTCATTTAGTGTAATGGATTGAGTGAAAGAAGAGAAAGAGAATAAATGAGGCCTAAGCTAAACACAGAAACACTTCAGAGACCAGTTAGTTAGAAGAGAAGCCTTAAGGAAGAATGGGTGATAAAGAGAAAAATTAGTTTCAATAAAGAGGACAGTGATCACTTGTCTAGAATAAAGTTCAGTAGTTAATATGAGAGAAGATAAGAGCATAATAGGAATATACTAGATCTGGTAATGAGTATGTTTGGTCAAGCATCATGCTTTGTACATGTCTCATAACAGATGCAGGAGTTTCAATTTTCTTGTAACCAAATCCACATAAGCTTCTTAGAACTTTTTTTTCCCATATGCTATGATTTGCACATGATTGGTTACCAACAAGTGTTGTGGTAATGGAACCTGGTAGAAGACGATTAGGTTTTGAGGGAGTATATCTCCAGAAGGGATTAATAGAATTCTGTTTCCTTCCTTCCTACCTTCCTTCCTTCCTTCCTTTCTCTTATCTTTTCTTTTTTAAACTGTTTGTTTCTTTTGCTAGTACTGGGGCTTGAACTCAAAGTCTAAGCACTTGTCCCTTGGCTTTTTTGCTTCAGGCTAGCACTCTACACTTGAGTCATGCCTTTACCTCCAAATTTTTACTGGTTAATTGGAAATAAGAGTCTCATGGATTTTTCTATGCAGGCTAGCTTTGAACCATAATCCTCAGATCTCAACCTCCTGAATGTCTATGATTACAGGCATAAGCCACTGGAACCTTGCAAGATACTATTTAAAGTAGCAATAAAAGAACAAGAGAGAATTTAAAATATGATGGGAGCAATTGAATGTTCCATATAAAGATTATACAATAAAAGTGAAGAAATCTTCTAGAAAGAACAAAAAGATTCAAAAATACAAAAGAGTCCTAGAGAATTAATTCAAGAGTTCCAACATATGACCAATTAGAGTATCAGATTCAGACAGTAAGTGTTGAGGCTATTTGTGCTTATATAACAAAATATTTGACATTTGATAATTTACAAGAACATGAATTTATTTCCTCTCAGTTCAGGAGGCTGGGAGGTATAAGATCAAGCCACCAGTAATGTCAGGTCCAGTGAGGGTCACTATTTGCTTCCACAATAGTACTTTGTTGTTGCATCCTCTGAAGAGCAGGAGCATTGTGTCCTCAAGTGGCAGAAGAGACAGAAAGAAAAAACTCATTTATTTATTCATTTTTATGCGTTGGTATTGGGGCTTGAACTCAGGGCCCAAGTGCTGTCCCTTAGCTATTTCACTCAAGGCTAGTGCTCTACAACTTGTGCTACACCTCCACTTATGGCTTTTTGCTAGTTAATTGGAGATAAGAGTCTCATGGACTTTCCTGCCTTGGCTGGCTTCAAATCTTCATTCTTAGATCTCACCCTTCTGGTTGCAATTACAGGGATGAGCAACCAGTACTCAGTTTAGCTCACCCTTTTAGAAGGCATTAACCCATTCATGAGAGTTCCACTCTGACTTAAGTCTCTCCTAAAGGTCCCGTCTCTTAGTATACTGTGTAACATAGGTAATTGAGTTTCAACCTAATAAATTTTGGGGGATACATTTATACCATAACAAT